AGCTTAAAAATGCCGAGAATGTCAGCATGTATCACGAATACATTGAAACGGTATTTAAACCAAACGCTTCCACAATCAAAGAGGCTATCGCGAGAAACGATTATATTGAGAATGAATGTTGGGTAAATGCATTGGTAGAACATTATAAAGATTGTCCAAGAAAAAAGAATCAGTTAACACGAGAAAAGATATTAGATGTTTTGAAGATGGATGAAGAAGAGTTCAATAAAAACGGTGCTTGAATTGAAGATATGGAGGTTGTCTTCAATCATTTTACTATTCCCGTGAGAATTTTTGACATCATAGGGAATTGCATTTATAAAACAGAACATGTCAATAAAAAAATCAGAGCCTTTTATGGTCTCGTTAAGAATAACCATATTTACGTTATGAATTTTAACTTATCCAGCTTACAACAACATAAGGGAAGGGAATATATGAATTTGAAGGTGAGAGTTGGAAGACACATACCGACAAATTGAATATCGCGAAAAGTTTAACCAAATGACGGGCAAAGTTGAAAATCAGGAATATCACCATTTTATAGAAGCGACGCATAAGAATGCATGCGAGATAGATATGACAAAAGCATTTACACATGCCCTAACGAAAATGAAAAAAATACCAGTATTTAACCAATTCGACAAATGGGTAAAATACAATGGTGAGGAAATTGAGGATTTAGTCTTATACACCGTGGAAGTGTATAAGGCTAATCTGTTCTTCAACAAGCGGTTCTGCCTTTGTTACGGAAAGTTTCTAAAAGATGTTCTGAATGATGGTATCATCATTAAATATTATAAGAAGCCTTCCTTTATATATAATTGTGATTATAAAAAGATTGTTAAGGAATTAGTAGAAACCCATATATCAGATGATACCCAAGAAGACACCAAACTAAAAAAACAAATAGCAAATGTAAATATCGGCTTGTTAGAGAAGGGAGTAACAACAGCCCAGAAATCGGTTTTATTCAAGGACTTGCGAGAAGCACAGTTATATCAACATATGTATGGTGGTCGGATTAATATTATCAAACAGTTCGAGAAAGAAGAAGGTTATGATGATAACGATGATGATTATGATGAGTTTAGTGATGATGAAGGAGAGAAAGAAGAAGTGCCAGACGAAGATACAAAAAACAAAGGAAGATACTACGTTCTAAATTTAACAGACCACGCCGTCTTGAAAAATGGTTATCGTTACATTAAGGAGCTTTTACTCCAATATCATAATTACAGAATATACAAGGATTATAACACACTACGAGAAAATGACATAGAAGTCTTTAGCGTTAAAACAGATGCATTCACAATATTAAGGAAGGATTTACAAAAAGCAATGAAGTTACTGAAGTTTGGTAAGGACATCGGCGATTGGAAAGGCGTTTTAAATAACTTTGGGTTCCCTTATCAGGAATATGAGATGAAGCAGAACAAACCAATAGAAATACCCGAAGTTGTTAATGAAAGAATTATGTTAAAAGACGAATGGGATAGCAAAGAAGCGGTTGAGAAAGTTCTCGAACACAAGCACGTTTTAATTAAATCCTTATATGCCGGAAGTGGCAAATCACATATACCGAAGCAGATACCAAATAAAAGAATATTGTTTGTAACGCCCACGAACAATTTAAATCAAGAATGTGGAGTAGAAGCAGTAACAGTTAATACATTCTTTTCAATCCAAGTCGGGGAAGAGAAAATGAAAGACTTTGATTATTCTATGTATGATGTTATAGTCTTTGACGAAATCTACTTTAACAATATTCCGGTGTTAGCAAGAATAAAAACATTTTTAGAAAAGAACCCCGACAAAATTATCGTAGCAACAGGCGACGAACACCAGTTACAGGGCGTTGTGGATATAACTAACACACAAGATTACCACATATATTTAGACAGTTGTATAAAGCAAATGTTCAAGGACTATATTTATTTAGAAATATGTAAAAGATTAACCAACGAGGAAGATAGAATAAAATTAGAAAATATCCATCATGACATTTTCAAAACAGACATGACAAATAAACAGATTATCGAGAAATATTTTGAATACACAGAAGAGATAGAACTCATTGACAATAACATAGCATATACCAACGAAACATGCAGGAAAGTATCGCAACATATTCGGAAGATGAAAAACATAGATGAGGAGTATATAATCGGTGATTTGGTTATTTGTCGTGTTTATACAAGATTCAAGAACATGAAATATAATGTTAATTTTAAGTATGAGATAACCAATATTAATAATAACATTCTGACACTCAAAAACGTAAAAACAAACACAGAACAAGATATCAGTTTAGCTTTGTTGAGAAAGAACTTTATTTATGCTTCGTGTTACACATGCCATAGTAAACAAGGGTGTTCGGTTGATGGCGATATAGTAATTTATGATTGGATGTATAATTATGTTTCGAAAGAGTGGTTGTATACCAGCCTTACACGCAGTAAGGACTTAAATAGAGTTAAATTCTATAAGTATGAAATAGCACGAGACATTAAAGAATCTGAGATTGAAAGGTATTTTAACCAAAAGGTTAAACAATACAAATCACAAGATATAGAAGCGGGGCGTTCAATAAACGAAGAGGACTACGTAAATGTTGAGTGGCTTATGAGTCAATTAAAAAACAGATGCACCGACTGTAATGAACCCTTTGTAGTTGAAAGGGTTGACCACAAGCTCACTACCAATTTATCAGCCAATAGGCTTAACAATGACAAGGCACATTATATAAGCAACTGCAATAGCATGTGTGTTATGTGTAATTGTTGCGCGAGATAATTCGATAATATATATAATATATATTATATATATTATCAATGTCAGACAAGAATAAGATAATATCGGATATTTATTTTGATAGAAGCGGATTTGGGTCACAAGCTGTTACGTATAAAGATGCTAAAGCTAAAGATAAAAGCATTACAATGGCTGACGTTAAGGCATGGTTTGAAAAGAACATAGAAAGAAAAAAACCTATGTCGGGATTTAATTCATTTGTTGCCCCTCATAGTTTTTATGAGTTCCAAATCGATTTATTTTTTATTACAAATAATGATTTGAAAAATCAAAAGTTTAATGTTGGTATGGTAGTGATTGACATATTTAGTAAATATCTCGTAATAGTTCCAATTAAAAGTAAGCTACAAGACGATGTATTAGCTGGGCTTATAGAAGGAATACATAAAATGGGTAAAGCCCCCGAACTTATTTATTCCGATGACGAAGGTAGTTTAAATAGTAATGTTATCAAAGAATACATTGAGGAACAGGGTATGGAAATACATAGAACCCGAACACATCCCACGTTCGCCGAGCGCGCGATCAGGACAGTTAAAGATATGTTATTTAAGAGAGTCGAAGCGGATGAGAAAAAAGGTAAAGAGAATATTCAATGGACAGATTATATATTTGAGATAATGATAACATATAATAATAAAATGGTTCATTCAGCGACTGGGTTAGTGCCCAAAGAAGCAAAAAAGCCCGAAAACGAACTCAAAGTTAAGGCTAATATCGCAATGAATGCAACTAAAACCCGAAAGTATCCCGAACTCGAGATGGGGTCAAAGGTCAAAATATTTCGGAAGAAAGATAAATTGGATAAAGAAAGGAAGAGCTCGTGGAGTGAAAACTCCTATACCATTGATGACATTAAAACTGTGTTGGGACAAAAACATTATTATATTAATGGACGTGGTTATTTGCGCCATGAATTGCTGAAAGTGTAAAAATATTTGAGCTAAATTGTTTGAGCCATTGTGTCCCCCGTTTGCGGATTTACGCAAACGCCCCTTTAGCTCGATTTCTACTCATTTTTGGGGGCGATTGCGGGATTTTGCAATGGCGTTTGCGGGATTTTGCAATGGCGTTTGCGGGATTTTGCAATGGCGTTTGCGGGATTTTGCAATGGCGTTTGCGGGATTTTGCAATAGCTTTTGCGGGATTTTGCAATAGCTTTTGCGGGATTTTGCAACGCAGAGAAGCGAAAGAGGGAGCTTGCCCCAGTATAAGGCTTATTGTTATTCTTGGGTTTGTGGTTTAGGGTTTTGGGCTGAAGAATAACGGGGATTTATGGGGGAAGGTGTTTTTTCTTGGGTTTAGGCTTGGGATTTTGAGAATATGGTTTTACGGGGATTTTTTGGCTTGGGATTTTTTGGCTTGGGATTTTGGGCTAAGGAATAACGGGGATTTGGGAATATGGTTTCGGGATTTTTGGCTTGGGATTTTGGGCTAAGGATTTCGGGAATATGGTTTCGGGATTTTTTGGGCTAAGATTTTGGGCTAAGGATTTCGGGAACATGATTTAGGGATTTTTTGGTTGATATTTGTCGGGCTGGTGTGCCGACGGGTTACAAAGTGGACTGGGGCGAGGTGTCGGCTATCTCCCCTACCCCCCCCCACCCCCCTACCCCCCCCCCTCCTGCTTGCTGGGCTTGAATTGATGTGCTTCAAGCTGGCTTCAGCTCCTGTTTGGGTCCTGGTGCTACTCCCCCCCCCCCCAACGTTTCACAGAGGCTCAAGCAAATCAACTTTTGGATCCTTTGAGCTGACGAGCGCGTTTAAACCTTTCAACTATGCTCCAGCGGGGTCGGCGGCTTGAGCCGGAGGCTCTTAAATTTAGGGTTTAGGGTTTAGGGTTTAGGGTTTAGGGTTTAGGGTTTAGGGTTTAGGGTTTAGGGTTTAGGGTTCGGGTCCACCTCACATGCCCGAAACCCGGATCTTGACTCCTCAAAGCCTGAAGGATTGAAGAATGACCAACCTACCCGGCCGCAAGAGCCCCAAACCTCGCAAACCCTCAATCTTCGAAGGCGTTCTCAAACGCCGATTTTCGGCGCAATGCAAAGCCGAGTCCTCGTGTCAAGTGGTACAAGTGCCGCAACCTCTGGAACAAGAAACATGAAACGCGACTGGGCACTGCTCACTTCACGAAGAGAGTATCTGAGCACGTCAATCGCGGTCGTTCTCGCTGTCGCTCGGAACCTCTAGCAGAAGTCCGAAACCGTGTTCTTGTAGCAGTGCCCTTGGGAGCAAAGATAGCACATCGGGCAATCCTGATGTCGGAAGCATCCCACCTTCTCTTCCTCCAGGAGGCTGGCATGAGAGTCCGGCTTGTCCTCCTTGTCATTCTCGGCATCAGCATGGCTGTTGGGCGAGTGAAGGGTGATTGAGCTGCGTGTGGACTCCACCTGGTAAAGGCACATCGCCAGAGCCCACAGCACCATGAGGACCTGGCGCATCGCCATGACCAGTGTTTTTGAGTGCAAGTCGACAAACAAACGGATCCGCAAATGGCAATTCGAGTCAAAGCTGCGGGAACGCATGTAAGAATCCTAGCTTGGCCTTCAGTCTTTTGGCTTCGAAGCAGAAGAGCTTTAAGATGTAAGACTCAGTGCTGACCATTTTTGTCGGAACAGCAAGAGAACTGAGGGTTGAAGGCCCAGAGGTTGCAGCCTTGGAGGCTCGAAGCATTCGGAGCATTTGAGGTTTCAAAGCTCGGTTTCCCACCAGTTTTGGCGTTCAGAGACACTCCGAAACCCCTGGGAAAACCCAAGTCCGCAACAACTTAAGCCCCCGAAGCCCGAAATCCTCAGCCCCAAGCCCTAAGCCCTAGACCAAGGCGAGCCCTGCAAAACCCGAAGCCCTCAACCCCAAGCCCCAAGCCCTAAACCCTAAGCCCTGGACCCTTCAAGCCCAAGAAGGGGCGTCTCGCTCCTCACCCAGCTCTGTGGCGAGGATGCGCATGGCCTCCTCGGTGGGGAAGGGCGGCACCTTGTCCTGGCGAGGCTGTTAGGGCTTGAAGCCCGGTTGAGGGCTGCTTTAGGCCCTAAACCCTAAACCCTAAACCCCAAACCCCAAACCCTAAACTCTACGAAAACTGGGTTTGAAGGGTTTTAGGCTTTGACCCACCAGCAACCCAAAAAAACACACTGAACTACAAGCCCCGTGTCCCCGCCCCTCCCCCCCCCAAGGTCTGGTGTGTGAAATTAGACATTGTCAACCCCAAAGCCCACATCCTAAAAACCCAAACGCGAAACCCCAGAACCCCAGAAATCACTAAACCCTGAAACCCTATAAACTAAAAATCCTGAGAAAAATATCAAAGGACCCAGTTGAACATTGAAAATCCACAGCCCTAAAAATAAAAAACCAAAAAAAACGAAAAAAAAAAAAAAAAAAAAAAAAAAACTCAACCCTAAACCTCAAAAACGCCAAGAACCCGAAAAAACGGGGCTGCCTGCAGGGCCTCGAGCTCTTCCTTAGGGGACGGTTTAGGGTTTAGTTGAGGGTTGAGGGTTGAGTGTTTAGGGTTGAGGGTTGAGGGTTTAGGGCTTATGGGGCTTAGGAGGTTTGTTCTTGTTTGGCAGTTTTTGGGGTGTTGAGGGCTTTGGCTTCTTTTCTCCTGTTTTTGTTTGTACTCATTTGTTCTGTTTCTTGCGCGTGGGGGGGGGGGGGGGGTTGTTTTGGGTTTGGGAGTTTAGATGCTTAAGGGTAGGGATTATAGGGCTGTTGAAGCGCAGGGTCTTTGGGGGGCATCCACTGGGCAGGAGGGGAGGGGTTTGGGGTTTAAGATAGAAGCTTCTCCGGATGATGAGGGTTTAGGATTTCGGGGTTAGGGGTTTAGGGTTTAGGGTTCAGGGTTCAGGGTTTAACAGGGACTCAGTGCATTCAACCCTCAGCTCAACCTTTAACCCAGGTGTTGCGGGCTCCGCCCCGGTCCGCTCTCAGAAAGCCTTTGCTCGAAGACGCGTGGGTGAGTTACACGTGGGATTTCGGACTTAGGGGCTTAGGGGCTTAGGGTTTAGGGTTTATGGCTTAGGGTCTAGGGTTTAGGGGGTTTGGGGACTTATTTGCAAGCACAGTCCAGGAAGAAACAGAAACAGCCAGAAGCGCCAAAAAAGCGGAAAGGAATGTGACAAAACGCTAGCAACGAATGTAGGGCCAACCCTAGGAACCTGCTTCTTGCTCTCCTTGAACCTCTAAGTAGGCATTCCACCAAGGCCTGCAAACCCTAAACCCTAAACCCCAAAGCCCCAAGCTATACTCCCCTTTTAGAGCCTGAATAAAAGCAATGTTTTCATATCCTTCTGGGTTTTATATAAACAAAAACAAGAAAAAAAAACAATTCCCAGGGGGGATATGGTAAGCACCAAGACCCTGAACCCCAAATTCTAGCCTCTAACCTCTCATTTTAAGCCCCCTCGCAGACTCGCACAGGGGCCCCGGCCATGTAGTCATCCCTAACGATATCGGGACGATTGGCCAAGGCCTGGACAAAGCGGACGGGTCTTTACGATCTGGGTTTAGGGTTTAGAGTTTGGAGTTTAGGGTTTAGGGTTTGGGGTTTGGTAGAGGGTAACCTTTTTAATTTTCACAGCTGGGGCTTCATGAATCGTAGGCTGAGGGTACTGGCTGGATCAGAGCCGGCGTGAGGGATGCTCATTTCCAAGCTGAAGGGCCTGAACTGCACTCGAGATGCTACATCTTGCAAGCATTGGAACCTTTCTCGAGTCCGCTTTTGGGAACATGTTAAGGTGGCCTCTTGCACTGCAAGCTCTTTCTACAAGCCGGGCAAGATGTCGGTGTGATCGCTTGCGCCGCTTGTGGAAGATGCGAGCTTTCAATTCCCGGTGCGAAGTAAGCTTTGCTTACACAATCTTACACAGCTGTCAGCTTCAGAGCAATCTGGAGGTAGTCGCGCATGCTGTGGTATGCTAGGAACTAGGAGCCTGCTGAGTGTCATGGCTGAGCCAGGAGGTTGCTGGCTGAGGAGCTCCTTCAACGGCGGAGAGCCTGCGCTGGCTTGGTAGGCCGAGCTGGAGTTCAGACTCACCAACACGATCTCACCCACCACATCGTACTTCTCCAACAGATGGCCTCTGCTGGCATCGTAGCTTTCTTGAAAGCCTTCCAGCCCTGATACCTCCAGCAATTTCTTGCTTCAGCTTCGGCAGGACATCCACCAGCCAGCTCTTGCAAAGGGGAAGCCGCGGGACTGGATCCCAGTCATGCACCCAGTGCTGTGTGATCGCGTGCAGCCGCTGCCACAGTTGCTGAGGCGCCCCAGCCCTGGGAGGGACCAGGACGTGCGGTGCACCAGAGGTACGGACTGCCGATACGCTGACATCCCGGCGGAGCAAGTGGACGGCCATGACTTGCGCGTAGCCACCACCGAGCGAGTGTCCGCAGAGTACCAGCGGCTCCCCAGCATCGCGGTGCTCACTCACCACTTGAAGGATGTCTTCCACCACGTGGTCCACCTCATCTCCTTCCTGCTCAACGGCGTTGGCGATCCCACTGTGCACGCCATGCTCTTTGAACCTGACCGTGCCGGGCACAGCGCTCGAGTCGATCGCAGCATCTTGGACATCACCAGTCCCGCGGAAGGCAAGGTACATCGCTGAGCCTGACCGGGCCGGGAGCCACTGCGCCGGACTCGCGCTGCTCTGTTTGCACGTGGCATGGAGTACATGGGCAGGCACAAGGGGCATAACCTCTCGCAACACAATGTCGCCCCGACAGTCTTTGGCCAGTTCACATACGTGACCGCACCAGATGGGTTAGTTTGATGCAAGGCGGCGGTGGCGATAGTGTCCTGGAATCCAAGCCACTCCGAAGACGTCTACAGGGGCCTTTTTTCGTTTCCTGGCACTTCGCTGCTCCTTCTTTCGCCCGCATCAAGCCTGTGGCTGGCCTCAGTGCCGGCGTGGTACACATGCACTGCTCTGCTCTAAGCTGTTGCGGATGCAGATAGCGCCAACACATGGCAGCGGGGCTTCAGGGCACTCTGAAAGGTCCTCGTCGTAGACCATGGAGCTCAGCTGGGCGGCCATCTTCACGCTGTCATCGGCATGGAGATCAATGCTGTGAAGCCGGTCGGGGCATCCACCGCTTGCCACACGAGGCGGACTCGGACTTCGCCGAACCGACTTCCGACTTGAGCAGCCAGAGTTGAACACCCCATCGAGTTGCAAGATGGAGCGCACTTTTGGCCAACCACTTGTTCGGGAGCTGCAATTCCTGGTCCCCCGCCCTCGCACAGCAGTGGTTGAAGACTTGCTGGGCTGCACGGTGGCCGTTCGAAGAGGCAAGATCGTAGGGTCCGGTCCTGTCGGCTGCCTCGTGCAGCTCCATCATCTTGAGGCCATCTTTGAGACTTCCCTCACCAAGAGCCAGCTGCCCGAAAGTGCTGACCCCCTCTACGCTCAGCAAGTTGTTGCCCAGATCTTGGCTGCCAACGAAGATGCCGTTCTTCTGATGGGCTGCCGCGGCGACGGAGCCCGCCTTTTCGAGCAGGTAGCTGTTGACTGGCTTGTCTGCCTCAGAGACGGCGATGACCAGGAAAGAGTGACGGCCGCCTACAAGAGCAACTTTGCCAGGGAGTGGCACCGTGTACCAAGTCACCTCGGTCACCTGGCTCTCGTCCTCAGCCATCTCGTCATAAGCATTACCATGGCCGAAGCGAGCCTCGTGGAAGGGCAGCTTGCTGCGAAGAAACTGATCCACCCCGCGGTTGGCCGCCAGACTAAGCGGCTCGTCGCCAGCATAATTCCGCGCGCGCACTTGAAGGCCCGCCTGCTCCACTAAGGCCTGGCATGCCTCGAGATGACCGGCTTTAGCTGCCCTGTGCAGCCATGTGTTGGCATTCTCGTCTTGGCAGACTCGCACGAGATCTTGTCCCCATGCTCGGTGAGAAGTTCGTTGGGGATCCGCTGCATTAGGAGCCGAAGGACGAGGCCTGCGTGTGAAGAATGTTGCATCCAAGCTAGAAACTTCTTGATGTGCATATTCACCAGCTCTGCAGAGATCTTGTCCCTTTGCTCAGTGAGAAGTTTCTGTGGCATCTGCTGCATGAGAAGTCGGAGAACGCGGCCACAAGCAAGTCATCGTCCCCCAAATGTGTCGCAATCCGATCCGCATGCTCAGCAGCAAACCTGTGTGTCCTCTGCTGACCGTCAGCAAAAGCAGCAAGATCCAGCGTTTGACTTCGACATCCTGATCTTTCAGCACGTAAAAATCTCGACGTGCTCTGTAAGATTCGTTGCAAGTTGCAAGCAGCTTGCATGCCATGTCCTCCAGGCGCTCGAAGAGGATGAGCGGAATCAGGAGATGCCAAGCTCGCAGCGCCCCATGCCAAAACCCCCAACCTTCCTCCACCAAGTATGACAAGAGTGACAAGATCTTTTGGGGCTTCCAGGGCAAGCAGCCCCGCTATGAGCATCTGCCTCTGTGTGCAAAGCGCAGAATCCGAGCATCGGTCCACCGGCAACTGGGACGGGAAGCACAAACCTTCTTCGACCATTCAGCGCTTCTGTGGGCTCTTCCTCTTGAGAAGCACGCAGCCAGTGAATGCCGATGAATTGCAGTCCGAAAGTACTTTCGGTTCTAATCTGCTCAAAAAAAGTGCCATTGACATTCTGCTATATCTACAATTCTACACTGCGCATGTCGTTTCTATCGCAGAAACAGTCGACAGCAGCCCTAAACGGGTTTAGGGGTTTAAGGGGCTGCCCTCAGACCGCCCGCGCCTGGCCCAGCTTCACGTAGCAAGGGCCCAGGTCCAACAGCAGCTGGCGCAGCTCCGCCGATCTGTTTGGGGTTTCGGGTTTAGGGTTCATGGTTCAGGGTTCAGGGTTCAGGGTTCTAGCCCCCAAACCCTTAGCCCTAAACCGATAACCCAGTTTTGGGTTTCTTGGTCTAGGGTCGAGGGTCTGGGGCTCAATCCCAACAGCCCGCAGATGGCCTGACTTTCACATACTCGGACCCTGTGTGGCCCCGCAGCTCATCTAGCCTGGGCAGGGGGGGGGGGGGGGGGGGGGGTGGGGGGGGGTGGGGGGGGGGGGGGGGGTGGGGGGGGGGGGGGGGGTGGGGGGGGTGGGGGGGGGGGGGGGGGGGGGGGCGATGCGAATTTGGGGCTTCGGGGGCTCAGGGTTCCAGGGTTTACGTTTCACGGTTTGGGGGGAAGTTGGGGGGGGCTTAGGGGTCAGGAATGATTTTTTGGGGTTCGGTTTCAGCCAAGTCTCCAAACCATGCTTCCATGTTGGCACGAGGCCTTCTCTTGATACCAGCAAAATTGAAGGCAGAACTTGAAGAACAGGCATGCGGTGCTTCCGACGCGCCCCCAGAACAACCGTTCTTAAGGGAGGGGGTCGTGGGGGTAGGTACCCAGGGATCCTTAGGGAAGCTTTTGGAGCCTTAGGGAGTACTGGGGAGTGTTAGGGAACCTTGGGTTACATGACCCCATGACCTACAAAGGAACAAAAAGCATCCCTTGAAAAGCCTCAACTCTCCCCATCGCCCAAGAAAGCCCTGAGTGCCAAAACTCCCCGAGTATTTAGGCTTTGGTTTAGGGTTTAGGGTTTAGGGTTTAGGGTTTAGGGTTTAGGGTTTAGGGTTTAGGGTTTAGGGTTTAGGGTTTAGGGTTTAGGGTTTAGGGTTTAGGGTTTAGGGTTTAGGGTTTAGGGTTAAAGGGCTCTGGGGCTTGAGGCCTAAGGTTGAGGTTTCGGGGTTTTGGTGGGGTCTAAAACCTCAAGCCCGAAACACCCGACACCCAAGAAACGACCCGGAACTCTGAACATCATGCTTCCATGAACCCATGTCTTGAGCAACACACACTTGCCCGCAAAGATCAACCCTCAACCCTCAAGCCAAAACCCCAAACCCTAAACCCTATCCCTACGCCCTAAACCCTAACCTCAAGCCCTAGACCCTATACGGCCCTAAACCCTATCCCTACGCCCTAAACCCTAACCTCAAGCCCTAGACCCTATACAGCCCTATACCCTACACCCTCAACCGCATGCCCTAAAAGCGTCACCCAAGGAGCCGGAGGTCAAAGTAGAAGCGGCCGACCCGGAAAACCACCTCGAGCTTCGGACTTCAAAGGGAGGCGTTGGGGGCCTGGGTCCAGGGCCTAGGGTTTAGGGTTTAGGGTTTAGGGTTTAGGGTTTAGGGTTTAGGGTTTAGGGTTTAGGGTTTAGGGTTTATGTGGTCTTTGGGGCTCTTTGGGGTTCTGTGGGGCTCTTTGGGCGCTTGGGGTTGAGGGCTTCGGGTTTAGGGTCCATCCTGAACATGGGGAGGGGTACTTGGAGGTTCATATGGGTAGCTTTCTGTGAGGTTAGAAGTAGGGTGTGACATAGGGTAACTGCAATTTTGACTGGCTATAACCGTAATAACTACCCATGAACCTTTAAGTAGGGTTTGGGGTTCCGGGTGGCAACCCTGGATCCTCAGAGCGCTGAAAGCCTTGAAGGCATGAATCAAAACCCTCCGTAAACCTTAACGCCCCTGAAAGACGTTTAGGGCTTAGGGTGTAGGAACGTCCTTGGACCTTAAAAAGATCCCTCAAACCCATGCCTTCATACCCCCAACATCCTCCAAAGAACAAAACCTCAAAACCTAAAACCCTAAACCCTACACCCTACACCCTAAACCCTTGAAGCCGCTGTAAGTCATTCCGACACCCCTGAAGCCGCTGTGAGTCCGACCTCCGCTGCGCGGCCGAGCACGGCCAAGGGCTTCGCCAAGGCCACGGCCTCGACCTGCGGGGAGCGGTTTCGGGTTGGGCTCAGCGTGACAATGATCTGCCAAAATAGGAGAATCCCGAAAACCCCTAAACCCTAAACCCTAAACCCTAAACCCTCCAACCCCTAAGACCTAAACCGAAAAACCCTAAGCCCCTAAAACAAAGACAAGGAAGGCGCTTCTTTCGCCGCCGTGCAAGGGTTGCATGATTTAGAAAAAACGTGGGGCTTTGGCAACACACATGTCCGGGAAAAGTTCGTTTAGTTTCTAATTTTTGTCAAAGAAAACGCCTAAACCGTCAACCCGCAAACCTAAGCCTGCAGTCAAAAAGGGCTCAAGGAGAAAAACAACCCTTAACCCTCAACCCTAAACCCTAAACCCCTAAACCCCTAAACCCTAAACCCTTAACCCTAAACCCTAAACCCTAAAGCCCTAGAATCACGGGCCTCCTCGGCGCTGTAGACCTCGAGGTTGCTGGGCGCGGAGAGACGGGACACCCATCTCCTGGCCGTCTTTTGGGGGCTGTTTAGGGTCTAGGGCTTAGGGCTTAGGGTTTAGGGTTTAGGGCTTAAGGTTTAGGGCTTAGGGCTTTGGGTTTAGGGTTTAGGGCTTAGGGTTTAGGGTGGAGGGTTTAGGGTTTAGGGTTTAGGGCTTAGGGTTTAGGGTTGGGGATTTTAGGAGTTAAAGGGATGCAGACCCTGGGGAGACCTAACCCTAAACCCTAAACCCTAAACCCTAAGCCCTATTGTGGGTGTTTTTTGGAACTAAGGGTCTGGGAATCTCCGCGGGTGTTGGGGTTGTGGGGTGTCAAGGACTCGGGATTTGGACTTTCGAGTGTGGAGGGCTTTGTGGGGACGAGGGCTTGGATTCAGAGTTTGTGGCTTGAGCGTTCGAGAAGTGGGGGGGGGGGGGGGGGGGGGGGGTTGAAGGTAGCATAGCATCTTCATCGTCGGCACGACACACCCCT